AGTCACTTCAACTCTGGTTTTGTCCGTGCCCCCCCTTGTCGCTACCCCACTGCAACACCCCCCCCCCCCATAAAAAAATCTGAGGGTTTGGAGTCGGGGCACAGTTTACTTGGTGGTGAGACTCGTGTGGCTTTGGAGACTGCCCCTTCCAGATTGGCGGCGGAGGCATTTGAGCCTGTTCCTCCTGTCAGGGGTTTTGTGTCCAGTGGTCCCCCTTCATTCCCGCTTTTCTGGTGGACTCTGCTTTTTCCCTAGAGGCAGAGGGTTTGGAGGATGGTTCAGCCCCGGGTCCTGACATGAAGGATCCCCAGGCTGGGGAGGAGTTGACTGGGGGGGTCTTGGGCCCCGTTTGACCCTGCATGGGTGTTGGTACCCTCAGTGTGGGGCTTGTTGTTACAGATGGAGGGGTTTTCCTATCCCCCCCTCCCTGCATGATTTTGATATGGGTTCGACTCCTCCCCGGGTTTGGTTTCAGGTTCCGTTGGGTTCCTCCATTTCCTCGGGTTCCTCTGTTCCCTCATTCCGGAGGTTTCGTCTTCCTGCATCCTGCTGAGGGAGGTGCGGGAGGCCCTTGTGGCTTACGTTCTGCGAGACCCGGATTACACCTCAATAATTGATTCTTCATCTTTTGAGTTTGGCTCCTCTTTTCCTTGCTGGGTGCATTACGAGGTGCCAGAGTCTTCCTGGCCGGCAGACTGCCCTTTCATTTGGTTGGGGGCTTGGCATGCGTTCTGTCAGACCAGCACGCTTGAATTGTTAAGAGTTGACTATGGTCATTCAGAGTTACCTGGGGGGGCGAGTTTGAGCACCTCAGTACGTATTTCTTCGCCCCAGTGTTCCTCGTGATATTGGCCTGGTGCAGCTTCACGTGAGGGTTCCCTCCCTTTCGGTGTATGGCGGCCGAGGATTTACGTGCTCGTGGGCATTTGGCTTTGGTCTTGCGCTTCTTTTCCCTGCTGGATCTGTCTTCGGACTGGCTCGAGAAGGATGTGGAGGAGCTAGGTTCCGAGCCGGTGTCCGGTGCTCTTGCTTCGGTAGCTCGAGCATCGGCTGCCTCGTTGAAGTTGTTTGCACCGATTCTGAAGGAGGCGGTGTGTCTGTTCTTTGCTTCTCGCCTCGCGTGGTGACAAACAGTGCTCGTCCACTCTTTGGAATCTGCTTGAACCCTGGCTCTTAGATTTTTGTCCCCTTTCTGTGGGGAGCCCCCATGGCTCCCTGGAGCTTATCAGGCTAATGTACTTTATATTAGACCAGAACATTAGCTATGGAGTTCAGACCTACCAGGGACCAGAGCCGGAACCTGGCGCCTTCAGAGAGGTTTCAGGGAGCAATGGCCCTGACAAATCCTTATCTGCCATCTACCGGGGTTAGGCACCCAGAAAGGTAGGCATAACAAAACAAACCCCACATGGTAAGAAACTAAAACAAAACAAAAAGCGAGCAGAGGTAGAAACTCCTTACAATCCCAAGAAAACAAGCAAACATCACACTTTATTGCTGTGCCGCTTGTTTGTGCAGCTCTCCCCTCCTGAGAGGGAGAGGGGGGCCCAGACCTCACCTCTGCTGTCTTGTTGTGGTGTGTGGTGGCCAGGAGTACCTCATCAGTGCTGGGGCTACATGAACTTAGGGGATTCCTTCTCTAAGCGCCTTGTGAGTACTGCCCCTGTGTGTGTAAGGGTTATCTTTCCCTGCAGCATTCGGGAACCGCTCTCGTAGGGGTTCTTGCTGCTCAGCATTTGCCTTGCCCTTGGGGCCAGCTGGGGCTTGGGGCCCTTGTTTGGCCTTGGGTAGGGAGTGGTGTTGTGCTGGTTAGGGCATCAAGGTGTTGCGCGAACTAGTCCTAGTCGCGCTAGGTTGGTTTCCCACCCAGATGCCCCGCGGCTGCCCCGCTTTGGTTTAAGGGACCTAGGGACCCGGACCTGGGGGCGTTAGTCGCTTCCCCTTTGGCTCCTTCCGCGCTACCTGGTCCTTCCCCTGATGTTCATCCTCCACTTCCGCCCCTGTGACCGCCTCACAAACGTCTGAGGGTTTTGGATTCGGCACAGGGTTTAGTTGGTGATGAGACTCGGGTGGCTTCGCGGGCTGCCCCATTCGGGTCAAGAGACGGAGGCATTTGAGCCGGTTCCTCCTGCCGAGGCTTCTGGGTCCCACCAGCAGGCCCCCCTTATCTGCCATTTGCCTTCTCTTCAGGGGTAGAGGGTTTGGAGGACAGCTCTGCCCATGGTCCTGACTTGGGGAATCTCAGGGCTGGGAAGGAGTCGACCTGGGGGCTATGGGTCCCCTTTGACCTCGCTTGGGTGCTTTTGCCTTTCTCGAGAGGCTTATTGTTGCAGGGGGAGGGGTTTTCTTACCCCCCTTCCCTGTATGAGTATGATTTTGTTTGGCTCCTCCCCATGTTCGGTTCTAGGCCCATTTGGGTACCTGGGCCCCGTCTTTCCAGAGGTTTTCTATTTCTCGTATCTCCACGAAGGAGGTTCGGGAGGTTCTTGCTGCATACCTCTCGCGAGACCCGGTTTATGCCTCTGCGATCGATCCGTCCTCTTTTGAGTTCGGTTCTTCTTCCCGGTTTTGGGTGCGTTTGGAGGTTCCGGAGTCTTCCTGGCTGGCAGACTGCCCATTCTTTTCATTGGGGACGTGGCGTGGGTTCTGTCGACCTGCACGCGTGATTGGCGTGAAAATTCTACAGTTCTGCAGGTTTACCTGGGGATCGAGTTTGAACACCTTAATGCGTGCTTATTTGCCCCCTGTGCTTTCTCTGGATGTCGGCCTTTTACAGCTTCACATGTAGATTCCTTCTCTTTCGGCATCGTTGGATGCGGAGGATTTGTGCGCCCGTAGGCATTTGGCTTTGGTCTTACGTTTCTTTTCCCTTCTTGAGCTGTCTTCTGCCTGGCTTGAGGAGCATATGGAGGTGTTGAGTGCCGGTCCTTCATCTGGGGTGCTGACTTCGGCAGCTAGAGCGTCGGCTGCACTGTTGAAGCTCTTTGAGCCTATCCTGAAGGAGGCAGTGTCTCTGTGTTTTTCTTCTCGCCTGAGGCTGTGCTCGCCCTCTCTTTGGAATCTGCCTGAGCCTTGGCTCTTAGGTTATCGTCTCTGTTTTGTCCGTTGCTGTTTGCAGAGGCTGCGGTCTTGCAGTTTCTGCAAGCAGCTTTGTCTAGTTGTCGAACTTGTTGGTTCTCCAGGGTGGTCGTTCTTGGCCATCATGGAGGAGTCGTGCCAGGGTTTAGGGTTCTGCTGGTCGAAGTGGGCCATTGGTGCCAGTTTCTGAGCCGGGGTTTCCTTTGGTGCCAGCGTCGTCTGGTCGGTGCGGTGATCGCCCTGTTTGGCGCTTGGTTTCTCATAAGGGGCGTCGGCCCTTTTGCGGTTCACCCCGTTAACAGGGCGAGAGGGGGGGGGGAGGATCGCTCTGTTTGCCCACGCTTGGTCCCATGATTTGTGGGCCTTTTCGGTCATGTTATCCCGCCTGCAGTGACATTGGGTGGCTCATCCTCCTTTCGGGGGTTTGTGTCTAGCAGGGCAGGTTTCTTCTGCGCTTCGTCAAATCATCTTGCAGTGGGTGCGCTTGGGTATGGTCGAAACGACCCCATTCCTCAGGTGGGTTTCCCACTTGTTTCCAGTGCCGAAACAGGACTGTGGGGATCTGTGGTTCATTCTGGACTTGTCCAGTCTGAACCCCTGGATTCCTTGCCCCTCCTTTCAATTGACTACTGTCTCAGGTCCGGCTTCAGTTGGAGCTGGGTGCCTGGATGGTGTGGTGTCCCTGGACCTCAAGGAAGCTTACCGCTCCTTGCCGCTTTTGTTGCCTCCCTTTTGGCCTGAATCTGGCACCTCATGTTTTCACGTGTCTTACCCGGGTTGTGGTGACCCCGTCTGCATCTGCTAGGGATTCGGGTTTTGGCCTACCTCGATGACTGGCTGGTGTGGGCTCCCAGTCGGTTAGCTTGTCTGCTCGCCAGGGATATGGTTCTTTCCCAGTGCGTCAGGTTCGGGTTCTTGGTGAACTGGAGGAAGTTCTGGTTCCGTCCCAGGTTCGGACCTGGCTGGGTCTTGTTTGGGATTCTCGGACCGCTTCCTTGTCTCTCCCTCTAGAGGCATTACTGCAGCTGTGGTCCCGCCGTCGGCTTTTTCTGAGGGGGTACTGGGTCACTCGGCGGTTGCTCGAGTGGTTGTGCGGGAGTCTGAACTTCGCCGTGCTGGTCTACCCGCCAGGTTGGGTTTGGCTTTGGCGTCTGTTTTAGTTCCTTCAGGGACACCCTTTCTGCCTCTCTCGCGATCGTTGGGTTCGTCCTCCGGGGCCCTTGTGTCGGTTGCTGCATCGCCGGCTTCCTCTTAGGGGTTTTCGGGGTTTGGTGCCTTGGCACCTTCCCGTGCCTTCGCCTGACATGTTTATGGGCGCATCGTCTCTTTGGCTGGGGCATTGTGAGCAGTGCTCACCATGCTGGCCAGGGACGGTGGGGTCCGTCCTTCTGACACACAGCACAGTTCGGGAGTTCGCAGCAGTCTGGTTCGCGCTTCGGAGGGTTCGGGTCGCTCGGGGTTCGCCCATCCGGCTCCATTCGGATTGTTATCCGGTGGTTCATTGCCTGAACTGTGGGAGTTCTCTTCGGTCCTTGCCTCTTTGGGGTTGGTCCCTTCGAGTGATTTGTCTGCTGAATTCTCGGGGTTTAGCTCTCCATGCAGTTCATATCCGGGGAGTGTCCAACGTCCCGGTGGACAGCCTGTCACGCTTCATACCCCTGTCCATGGAATGGAAGGTCGACAATGACTCGTTTTGTTGGATCTGCCAGATGTACGGACTCCCGGACATAAACCTCTTCGCGTTGTCTCCTGGAGGGCCAGTAAGGGATTCTTGGTGAGATTCTTAGGGCTTTTTCTACACCAGCACACAAGTTCCATGAAGCTGCTGAGCGCCCACCTTAAATAAAAATGGCATTTCATTACATTCAAAGCTTGAATTTGCATATTGTTTTCTTATGTAACACACTTTTAATTTTTTTCAG